ACCTGTTGTTCCATCATTGTCGCATGAAGACCTAACAGAAGAGCAACGAGCTGACCCTGCCCTCCGAGAGGTCATTCATCAACTTGAGACCGGTGAGAAAGTCCTTCCAACGGCTCGAGAGGAATTGCCAGAGCTCCCACTGCTGTTAAGGGAGTGGAATCGGTTGGAGCTGAAGGATGGTATCTTGTATAGGAGGAGACAAGAGGATGACAAACTCAACTTCCAGTTACTTCTTCCACCCAACCTGCGACCAATGGTTTTGAGGGCTCTTCATAATGATATGGGACACATGGGTATAGAGCGTACCCTTGATCTTGTGCGACAACGCTTTTTCTGGCCAAAGATGGCAGCAGATGTGGAGCGCACCATCAAGACCTGTGGTCGATGTGTGAGACGCAAGGCACTAGTAGAAAAAGCTGCTCCCTTGGTACACATCCAAACAAGTCGACCTCTTGAACTACTTTGTATGGATTTTTTGTCACTCGAACCGGACAGTAGCAACACTAAAGACATTTTAGTCCTTACTGACCATTTCACAAAGTTTTCTGTCGCCATTCCAACCCCTAATCAGAAGGCTAAAACAGTAGCAAAGTGTCTCTGGAACGATTTCATGGTGTACTATGGTATTCCAGAACGACTTCACTCGGACCAAGGGCCAGATTTTGAGTCGAAGTTAATCAAAGAGCTCTGTGAGGTTGCTGGTATAAAAAAGTCTCGGACCACTCCATACCATCCACGGGGAAATCCGGTCGAGCGCTTTAACCGCACTTTACTAAACATGTTGGGGACACTTGAAACCAAACAGAAATCTAAATGGCGAGAGTTTGTGAAGCCTCTTGTACATGCGTACAACTGTACAAAGAATGAAGTAACCGGGTTCACACCATATGAACTGTTGTTTGGTCGATCTCCAAGACTTCCAGTCGACTTGGCTTTTGGCCTACCYGTTAAAGAAGCTCCATCACTCTCYCATTCGGAGTATGTCAAAAATCTTCYTTCAKGGCTTGAAGAGAGCTACAGACTAGTCTCTGAGAATGCACTTAAATCAGGTGAGAAGAACAAAAGGCGMTTCGATCAACATGTAACACCCTCAAGTCTGGAGGTTGGAGACCGGGTGCTTGTTCGCAATGTCCGTCTACGAGGGAAGCATAAATTGGAGGACAAGTGGGAGCAAGGAGTTTATGTGGTCACCAAGCGTGCAGGAGAACTTCCTGTTTACACCGTGAAACCTGAGGCCACAGAAGGACCTACTCGCACACTGCATCGAGACCTGTTGCTTCCTTGTGGTTTCTTACCTGCCAGTACAGTTGAGGATCACCCTATAACCTCTCCTGTTCACAAGTCAAATACTCGTAGCAAGTCCAGAAATCAATTGGATTCTGCACTTATTCTGGATGAAGAGGAGACTGATTCAGTGGTATCAGATTATTCCGTTCCACTTTTAGTYCAGCCTTCAGTCAAATTCAGGGTAGAAAGTTCGAATCGACGTGAAACTGAATTAGATGAGACTTCGACAGTTCCAAACAGAACCGTAAACTCTGACCCTCTCTTACCACCAGTCCAAGCTACCGCTCCAACAGCAGTGATGCCATCTGAGCATCACTTACCAGAGTTTGAGGAGTCCCTGCTGCAGCCTAGGAAAACAGCTATGTCAGCATCTAGCAAAGAGTCAGATACAAATGGGAAAGTTCTTGAAGAGGATGCAGAAGTTTACTTACCTGTGGAAGTATCTGTGGAGGAAAATATTCCAACCATTATGCCTCCCGAAARGTTACCTGGTGTCCAAATGTCTAAAGAGCCTGAGGCTGAAGATCCTATGTCAGACCAATCTGAGTCATTATTGGGTCCTATCAGTCCTAGCTCTATTGSACCCCTTGAACCAMTAGAAGTCGAACCATCCATTCGTAATTTTCCTCGACAACGTCAACCACCTAATAGGCTACAATATTCAGTATTGGGAAATCCACTGATTTCTGTAGTCCAAACTTTYTTTCAAGGCTTGTCTAATGCTTTTTCAGATGTTCTTAGTCGTGCCCCTGCAGCAGATAATATTAGTTGTAAAACCCGCAGCTCCCATGCAACAGGGACGTGCATGAACTAAGGGGGGAGGGTGTAGCCCAGTCTATTTTAAGGCAAATATCTGTTTCCCCTCCTTTCCCTTCTGTCCATAAACTAAGTATGAAATCTCGCGAGACTTGCCACGGGATTTTCCCACAAGACTTTCTGTGAGATTTGGAGCTAAGATGGCTGCACACTAGTGTTTAGCATCAGGTGTGTGTGGAGCTGGGAAGGAGTGGAGCTGCTGCAGGTTTTAGGTACTCTACCAATGTGGCATTGATGTAATCTGAGCCTTATGAAATTGATCAAAACCGGAACTGGCCAGGTTCCTATTTCCCAATCTTGGGTGGCGAGCTACAAGTAGGCCTCGAGCCTGAACCTGGAAGAAGCAGCCAACTGCAACTTCCACCAGTGTGGTAGGATGCTCTGCAGCTTGAATTTCCCCACACAAAACCAGATACACTGACTCAATATGCGATAAACTCTTCTTTTTTCTTTTTTTTTTTTCACCAACGAACTCTGAACAATAATACAGCCTGGTGGGGCTATAC